TAGGCCTTTTACAAAAGGTAGCACACCTTTAGCATTGTAATACCCTTAACTAATAAAGAGCTATAACCAAGTTGCCTTCAACTGGCATAAATATTTGATATGCCTGGATGTAACAAAAATCAAACACATGCTCTGCTCCTGGCTATATGATGAAGGCACACACAACACATCTTAAAGACCACAGAAATAGAAGCAGCACTCATGTTTCCAAAAACCAAAAAACCATTCATCTCCAAACACTGCCCACCACTTGGCCTTTAACAGATCTTGAAAACTGTGGATAAGAACAAAAAGCTGCAATCATTAAACTTCCTAGAAAAAAATAATCACAGAAGATGACTGTAAAAATAGCCAAAATTATTCTAACTATTTCTTGCATGCTCCAAGCATATTCACCATAAAACCATTTTAAGGAACAACTCTCAAACTGCAGATCAGAAGTGGAACAAAAATTGGAACTGCAAACTGAAGACTTTACAAACTGTAAAAGGGATTGTCCATCTAAAATGGCACATTTTGCAGTAATCCATAACTGACAATGTTTTAATCACCTATCTGTATCTGAACAATTTCACCTATCTGTGAATACATCAACACTTCACAAAACTCAACATTTTTGTTTCTTAATGCAACCATAGCTAGAATCATTTTTTGCAAGAACTGTTCCTTTAATAGGAGCAAAGTAGAATTAATCAATTTCTCATCTGGTATGATTTTTATTGGACAGCATCTTACAATTTCCACATATTGCCAAAGTGATCAATGTACACACGTCAATCCAAAATTGCTAAAATGAAGCTCTAAGCATGCTTGGTGTGAGCTGTCACTGTTACAAAATATGACAAACACTGTGGGTCCATACAGTAAAGAGGAACATTTAACAATCTAGATTCCACTCTCAGGCTTCAGTTTGCATAATTTATATTTGTCACCCCAATATTAATTAGCATCAGATCCCATTCCAGCAATATTCTTAGAAATCTATGAGAAAATAATTTAGTTTCCAAAATGCAAACCAAATGATACAGAAGAAAAGTTACATTTCCAAGAAGAACAGCAAACAGCCACACACACAAAGCATGAATGCTATTACTCTAAATTTTTTTTGGGAAAAAATAAAATTCAGTATTTTAAAAGCAAAGTAGTAAGAAGAGTGCAGCTTACCAACTTCAGGCTTCCCAGGATGTAATTCCGAAGTGCGGTTTCCTTCAGCGATGTAAACGGGAAAGCTTGAACATTCAAGATAGAGCTGACAAGCAGCAATAAAGGCAGGAAGGTATTCTTTTGCTGTCTTTTTCTTGTTTGTTTTCTTCACCTTAGCATCATCCTGTGATTCTCTGTCCCATTTTGTGCTCTGTCCTTGCACTCTAGTGGGGTCTGCTGGAAGCTCTGCCCCTAAGGGCTGAGACAAGGAGTTACTCTGAATGATATACAGGTTGATAAATCTGGTTAAAAACTGTTGGACATACTCCAAACAGCACTGCATTGCAGTCTTTTGGATCGTTTTCCCACTACGAGTTGCTGTCCCCTGTGTCATTACGGAGGGAGGCTGTACAATGGTCTCCTCAGACCCCACAGTTGATGCTGTCTCAGTCTCTGAGGATGTGCTACCAATAATAGGAATGCCAGGTGCACTGTGACCCTCATTCAGTGCTCTGTCAATGTCCTCAGTTGTATCTGCCTGATACTGTACAAACTCAGTGAATCCACTTTCCGACGATCGACTGCTTGGAGGATTTTCACCATCTTCAAACACGTCATTAGTATTTTCAAGTGGAACTGGTGGCACCTGAGGGAAATAAAAGTTTAATGACTGTTTAAAACAGGTTATTTAGGTCCTAGTGAGAAAATACTTATTTGCATCTTCATTTGAAAGGAAAAATTTTATTCCACAGTTTAAAAATCTATCCATATAAACACATCTCACGCAGAATGACGCTAGGTGTTTCAGTAAGACCGCCAGACCAAGCTAACTCAAGCAAAATATTTTAAATATTATTGCTTTTAACATTTTCTTCCTACCATAAACTTGTCTATTTTTTAATGAAAGAATGCTGAACTGTGTAGGCACAGGTTTTATCAATTCAGACAGCATCACAAACCAGGATATCCAGATACCAAAGAAAACCCCTCCCTTCCAGCAGGAAGCAGAACATTGAACTATGTTGCTTATGGTCACTTCAGCTAGCAAGATTATTTTAATACTTTAGATTTTAGCATGTTTACAAAAAGACAAGATATTTGTCTGTTAGTCAGAAACTGCTGCAGTCATAATTGATAGAAGAATTAAAGTTTAGTCTCATTCAGAAGGCACAAGCAGCATCATTTAACATAACAATTATAAGTTGTCGAACACCTTAAAAAAATGAACTGTGGAGCTGCAAATGAAGAATAAAATTTTTCATAACCTCAAAAATTCTTTTTCCCACTTCCACATTCATACTAATAAAACCAGGCCAATTTATCAGTAAAATTCATGTTCTTTGACTTGAGAATGTATCTATTAATCATGGATGAAATCTTAATGTGTGTGTGTGTATACATATATATATATATATCTGTATATGATACAACTTTTACTAACCTGCATCTTTCTTTTTATATACCAATCTCCAGATTTGAAAATTGGGGATTTTTTTTCAAATCAAAAGTTATAACTATAAAAGAAGGTATCAACTTTTCATTTAAAAACTACTAAACATTTACAACTAGAATGAAAACAAATGACACCCTAGAAATGAAAGAAGGGCTGCTCCAGCAATCATGACTCATTGTGTGCCTTAATTCCTCATGAGTTCAGAATATGCACAAGTCTGACAAATTTTTTACTCAGAAAGAATTCATAGTGGCTTTCTGGATTGCCCTAACTCTCTACAGTCTTGTAGTTAACTGGTGGTACAGTCTCTGTTTTCTGGTGAGCATGGGAGGTAAGGAAATCACTGAAACAGACACGCATGAGTCAGTGGGAGCAAATGCTGGTGAATATTTCTGATCCTATTTTCCTGGCAGTGGCAGATGTTGCCCAAGATCTAAGAGGCCCAGAAGTTGTTTTGCTGTCTGTCACTCTTAATCACTAGTCATCTTAAATACAAAATTGAGGGTAATGTAAAAATATGAATAACTGTTTCATGAATAAACAAAAACAGTGACAACATTATATGTCATGAATCATAGAATCATAAAATTTAGGGGTTGGAAAGGACCTTACAGATCAACTAGTTCGAACTCCCCCTGCCCTGGGCAGGGACACCTCCTCACTAGATCAGGTTGCTCAAGGCACATCCAGCCTGGCCTTGAACACCACCAGGGTTGGGGCAGCCACCACGTCCCTGGGCAACCTGTGCCAGTGTCTCACCACCCTTAGAGTAAAAAACGTTTTTCTCACATCCAACCTAGACTTCCCCTCCTTCAATTTGAACCCCTTATCCCTTGTCCTATCACTGCAGTTCCTAACAGAGTCCTTCTCTGGCTCCCTTGTAGGTCCCTTCAGATATTGAAAATTATGTCTTGCTTTCCCAGAGGTGGAGTAAGAATGAAAATTCGTTTGAGATATCACAGGAAACAGTGAAAGTTGTATCTAAAAAGCTTAGAGAGATACAAATGGTGACCCTGTTTTAGAAAATACAATTTAAAGAGATTAGAAACATGGCATTTAATTTAATTCTCTCTCATAACATAAACTATGGCCACATATGAGTCAGTTGCAATTGAAAGCAAAAGGCACTTGGAGGTTCAAAGGGCAACATCATTCAATTAAAACAGGGTTTGTTAAAAAAAAAAAAATCAAACCAAAACCTCCAAAGGAACAAAACCAGGCAGGTATCAGCCGGCTAGAAAGGATCCTGCATAAAGGACAAGGTGACTGTGAGGCAGCAGTGGACCCTTTTGGTGAAGCAGGGCAGCCACATGCAGGTCAGTATTAGCAAAAGTACAGTCAGCAAGTCAAAGGAAGTGATTAATCCCCTTGGCTCAGCAGTTTTAAGTCCACAGCCAGAATATTGTGTCCAAGTTTGCACTCATTAGTACAAAACAGACACTGATGTACCAAGTACATCCAGTGAAAGGCTACCACAGGAGCTCCAGAGAGTTGGATTTACACAGTTTAAAATAATTTACTCAGAATTACTGAGCTAAAAGTTGTGGACGGGGTGAAGGTGTCTTTATTGCTATTTGTGAGTTCCCATTGGGTAGGTGTAAAGATGGAAGTGTGCTCAGAAATCCAGAGTGAAAGAAAAAGTGGCAACCAACAGAAGCTGCAACAATGGAATTCTGATTAAATAACACAGTGCAAACAAACAAGCAGAACAGAGAAGTCATGGTAATTTAATCCTTGGAGATATTCAAAACTAAGATGGATATGATCCTGAGTGACATGACCTAGCTTTAAAGTAAAATCTAACTTTGAAACCAGCCCTGCTTTGAGCACTGCCCTGCAACTGTCACTTCCAACCTAATTCATTCTACGACGTTTCCCTAGTTTCTTCAGCTGGAAAACAAGGATTTCAGGGCATGTCAGTTAACATACCTCAAAGAGCTGTGGTTGCATAGACCAAACTAAACAATGTTATACGAGAGAGATGCTGGATGGTTTGTTTCTTTTATTTCTTTATTGAACGATTCTAAGAACTTAACAGTGACAGTAAAATGTGACAAGTATTAATCTGATGCACATAAATTGGGTGAGAGTAGAATTTACATACATCTGATAGGTAACCAAAATGGTGAATTCCTTTGAACCCAGTTACTCTACTCAATCATACTCCTGAAGTGCATTACAAACTTTAGTTGATTAGTTCATCCTTAGGCCCTGATTCTGAAGTGATTTAGACATGTATAACATTACATCTGAATAAACCCCCTTAAGAATCAAGACATTTTACCACAATTGTAATTTCTTTTGATGACCCAAGTTTCACACGTGTTGTATATTAAACTAAATCTAATCAAAGACTTGCAGTCAGCACAGGCTCTGAAAGACTGCTTTTCCTTTCCATGGAAGTATTTTTCCAAGATGATGCAGAACTTAATCACTTACCTTTTTATTTTCCCATTCTTTGATGGAGCTGTTGTGTCCACTGGGAAGCTGCAGGATACCATCTGTGCCAGCAGACAGCAACGGAGGCTGAACCTTACTAAGGATCTTGGAGCAGAGTCTGAGAGAATCAGTGAGCTCAGACAAGTGCAAAGTGTGGAGATGGCTCGTCAAGGCAGAAATCATCCTGAGCAACAGCTGAGGCAAGTGTTCAGTCTGTATTTCAATGTAAGTCTCCTAACAAAGTAATAGTAAAACACTCCTTAGTTGTAACACCAAATTCCACCCTGAAAGTTATCTGTTACAACAGAGGTACCTATGCTATATTGCTTAACTGTGTTCTAAACATAAGGAACATAGAAAAAGGAAAATTAATATCTTAATATCCAAGAATAAGAAATACATGCTTTACTTAAAAAAAAATTACAAATTTTACTTTAAAGTTGGGTAACATACAAATAGAAATATATTTAGCTCTTTTTCAAACTATTACATAGTGTTTATTACACAACAAATGTGTTACAAAGCACAGCAATAAAGCTAAGGAATGCTACTAATATTTTAATAACCTTAAGATAAAAGTTTAAGAATGAAAGATAAACAAGTTATTAGGAACTAAAGGAAAAACAGGCTGATTGCCATACCTGACACAGCACTCTCATACTTCTAGTAGGCTTTGAAATGAGAAAGCAAAGAATTGAGGAAAGACAGCTATAGAAAAAACAGTTCCAACAGTCTTTGCTACATTAAGCAATGACAAGAGAAAAAGAAGATACATCTTATCATGACATTTAAAAAGACCCTTAAAAGAAAGCTGCACATTTAAACTAGCATATCAAACTACAAAAGACTATACTTGTAATGAATACAGAGAAAAGAAAATGAGGACAGACTAAAATTTTCAGGTATAAGCATCACATAAATCACTTCAGTTCTGTCCAACCAGTCTATTAAGAATCATACAATGAAGCAAAAATTTCTTTTAATGGTTCCCACCAATTTATGTCAATATATTTTCAGGAAGAACAATTAATGAAGTTCATATAGTATTTCTGTAGACTATAAACATACAGAATCCCAATGTTAGCAATGACTAAAGCAATTCTTACCAAAGAAACAATATCCAACAAGAAATCCACTAATAAGCAGAAATTTGTCAGGGGTAACTCAGATTGCTCACTATCACCTGCAGGTGCAGTTTGAAGTCTGGCATGTAATGTCCTCCTGCAAAATTCAAATAGAGCTTCATAATATTTTTTCCTTCTCCTTACATTGACCATATTTCTGTAACTTAATGCAAAGCTGTATACACTGGGCATAATCCTTATGAACAAATAGGCAATCACTCATTTTACTATTAGGTAGCTTACTTGGCCCTATAGCATACTCTCAGAAAAAGCAGCAACCAGCCTTTCGGTGTAAAACAGTCTTCACTTGCAAAATAAGGAAATTCAGGCTACAGAAAATTGAACATGGAAGACATTTACTTACATGATACAGCAGCTCATGTAGAAAAAAAAAAACCCCAAACATTCTCCAGATTTCATTTATTTATTATAGGGCAATTTGGTATCCATGTTTACAGTAACTACTTAAATGTAGAGAAATACTCACCCTGCTTGTTAGTTGGCTTTCTTTACAGTCCAACACACAAAAATTAAGTCAAACATGTTGGAAGGGATTTCATCTAGTTCCACCTCTCATGCTGAAGATGCTAGACAAATTCATCCACAGTTTTGTCCAGCAGAGCTCTGGAAATCTCACAAGGAATCTCCACAGCCTTCCTGGGTTCCACTGTTTCACTGCTGCACTATGTTTTTAGCAAAACTTTTGTGAAAGTCTGAACCCTTGAGCCAACACTTGTTGCTGCCCCTTGTTTTCCATCAGCCATGACCAAATATATGTCTGTATCAACCTAGTAAATGCCCTTCAGGTCACATTTCAATTTCCCTCTTTGCCAGGCCAAACTCACCTACCTCAACCTTCCATGCAGGGTCCTAGCAGTTCTCTACTAATCTCTTCGGTTTCTCAACATTTCTCAGGTGGAGTGCCCAAAGCTGGCCACAATACTCCACACGTGACCTTAGAAACACTAAGTGAAAGGAAAAATAACTTCCTTTCACCTGCTGCCCATGCTCCTCATATTGTAGCCCATGACACAGTTTTCTTTACTCATATTTGTGATCAAATATCTTCATATATTAGACAATGAAAAAAAAAGTCTACCAATTTCATTTGAAATTCCTACATCATCTATTCCTTGCCACAGCAACAACCTCTGCTCTCTGTGGTCCCTTGATCCCTCTCCCTCCTGTTAATATTTTCAGTTCTTCCTTATTTACTATGTTTCCTCCCATAGCCCTCCTTGTCATGCACAGGACTCCCACCCTTCTTCTTCCCTAAAAGAGCATGGCAAAAGGCAACACATTCCACAAGTCACTCTTGGTACAGCTGACAGGTTTGCTAGACACCCAATGAGTAATCTTGTACTGGACAAACAGAACTAAACAAACTAGCTTTGAGATCACTCTGGAGTCTCCCCCTTAGCAGAAGGGCTAATTCTGTCTCTTGGTTTTACCCAGACACTGAGTGTGTGAGAACTCACACTGCTGAAACCCCAAGCAAATTAGCCAAAAGATCAAAGTTAGAGGGATGCGTAAAAACAGACTTACAGACTAAATGATCTCATGAGACTAACTTCTTTGAAGAAAAGAGTTTATAAACCAAAAGTTAACTTCAACTTTACACATACAGAGATTAACTATTATCACCTACCTACAACATTCTTCAAACCAACGAGCAATGTAATCCCACATATAATAAGGCTCAAAGGAATTGAAAAGAAGATTGGCAGTTTTAATCAATTCTGCTGTTTTCTTGTTTTCTCTCAGCTTGCTGAAAGAGAATAAAAAGAACCTTTTATATTTTTACACTTCATTTCCAAGTTATATAAGTACACATCACTGTGAGTTTACCCACTACCAGTTAACACTGACAAATTATCCTACCCTCATCCCCACAGTGGTTGTTGCTCTAGGGCTCAGCATATTGGCAGGCTGCTCATAGCAATGTCTTTTCACAGTTGCTAGGTTTCTGCTCTATGCTTGCTTTAGTATTTGTCTTTCAACCACATTTTTAATAGATCTGTTTTCCCATGACTGTTCCTACAGTTGTTTCTTTCTCCCAGCTTTGAAATTCCCTCTTCCCTCCACCTTTTAAGATATTCAACTCCAATCTTGAAACTCTTTATATCCTGTATAATAGAGCCATAGCCTTTCACACCTTTGCACTGAACACAGAAGTTGTTATTAATGCCAAGAGATTCCTAACATGAAGAAAACAGGTCACAGTCCACAGGCTTCGGTCATGGTTTCAGCAACAAAGATGTATTATTTAGTACAAAATATATTCTATTCTTTAGTCACCTGCTTAGCTGTGTGTGATCTTTGTTGAAAGATGGTTCTGTCTGCAGCTCCAGCTCTGCTGTGCACTGTGTATACAATGTTCGAAACACTTCGATCAATACATCCTCTAGGATGGCAGGGCCTAGGGAGAAATACCACCAGTCTCACTCTTCTGCATCATAGCACTGCCAACAGTCCACAGCTGAAAGCTCTCCAAATCACTAGCTAGCTTTGGTCACTGAAACCATTGAATTGCATCTGGTCCAATCTCAAACTACCTTATTGTCAGGAGGTTTGGTTTTTTTCTGCATTCCAGAAATACTCAGACAATTGAAATGCCTGGGAGTACACAGAGCACAGAGTTCTTTTGTCCTGCAATGATAGCTGGACACAAACACACCTGGTTCAAAAGCTATGCAGCCACAGCAGCATAGCTCCTGTTCAAGCCAACTCGCCCTCTTTGAGGGATTATTAGCTCAGCTCAGTAACATGCAAATGTGGCTACTGTGATTCCTGATCAAAGGTAGCTTTCAACCAAACTGTTTCAAATATTCACCCATAAGGTAGCTCATGCTGTAATCATATGGACAATACACTCCAGTGTTTAAATGCAACACAAGATACAATATTTTGAGCATCTTTCTTTTAATTTGAGGCAGGGTTTTTTGTTGCAGATATAGTATGTAGGGTATTCTTGAAAGTATTTTTCAAAATGTGAGCTTGCAGCCCAGAAAACCAACTGCATCCTGGGCTGCATTAAAAGCAGGGAGGGAGCAGCTTGAGGGAGGTGATTCTCCCATTCTACTCATGCTTTTCACTAGCCTCACTGAGGTGCCTTCAATGAGGGTGGACTCCGTGAAAAAAAATCCTATTAGCTGAAAAATCCTATTAGCTTCTTCAGAGCTCTGCTACTTCATGAAATCTTAATGTACACATTGCTTTTGAAAATTTAAACTGATCACAGAAATCACAAATTACAAGGAAGATGGCAAATTTTTGACAGATATTTTGTTCTTTGTGGTCTGTCTTAACCACTTCCTTTCTTTAATTGTTGTATTTTTGTGCTTTTGTTATCCCACCCCAAATCTTAGGTCAGATTTTGAGTTATTTTGGTTTCCTTCATTCACCTCCAAAACGTATTCCAAAGAAAAAGGCAAGATATCCAACACTTAATTGTTGTAAATACTTTTGTCCCATAGTCTCTGCATTCATGTGCTAGAGAGGGTATTTAAACATTTGAAATAGGGGAAAGGAAAATTAAAAAGAAATTCCAAATAGAAATGCCAACAAACCACCCACACAAGCAAAAAAACACATAATACTTCCTTCCTCTGGATAAATTCTTCTGAAAATAATTAACAGTTTTCTTTTTAATATCTATCATCTCTATGTGTATCTTAGAAGAAAGAACAGATTATTCCCAAAAGCAACAGCTGAGATATAAAATAGTGAAAGTCACTGTCTGATGAAAGAAATGGAAAAGATTCAATGTGTTTCTTCCAACATGCAGTCAGTTTTCTCTATGACTTTAACTTACTGTTTCCTTGTAGAAAGTAGAAGAAAAGGCATTTGGTAAAAAGTAAATCTAAAGAATACATTTAAATAAATAAAAAATACACATACAGCTTGGAAGATCTAAGAAATCTAGCTAACCTGCCAGTACTAAGAATAAAGCTTTTTCAATTTGATCAACAAGAGAAAAATTCTCAAAGCAAAACCACATAAAACAAGCTAAAGATTAGAAGTAATATGAAAATTACCTAGTTCAGGCTTATCCAGCAAACTGATAAGAATTCGAAAAGGTTTTAAGTCTTGCATTAATGTGCTTTCTTCTCCTTGGCCATTAACTTGTAGTATTCCCACCATTGCCTGCAAAGAGCAAAAGCCTATCAGGAACACAAAAATAACTGCAGCTCACTCTCTCCATGCTGAAGTTTTCTCTCAACTTTGCCTACAAGAATATAAATATCTCTGTGGAACAGAACCCGATAACTTGTCCACATTTACAATCAAAATAAAATATTGTAAACAAATATCAACTCAATATTTCACAAGAATAAAACAGAAGACAAAAAGCAATGAAGAGATTGTTTGAGAAGGTAAGGCATGTAGGTATTAGAGGTTTAATAAATAATAATCTGTCCTTCTAGGATGTACTCACCTATGTGGCAAAAATCTGTCTTGACTAAACAACAATGACAACTTCAAAACTGAGTTTCTATGCCAAAGCAGTTTAGGAATTAAAATTAAGCTGCAGAATTAAAAAAAAAAAGCCCAATGAACAGCCACAGATTTTGCTTAGTTTTCTCTCTGTGGCTGGATTTGCTGTCTGAGCCCAAACTAGTTTGTTTCTTCTACAGTTTCTAAAAAAAGGACAAAGAAGAGCGAAAAAAAAAAAGAGATGGGAAAGAACGGGCATGAAAACCAGTCCAGCTTTGCTATCTGCTATAAACCAAGTATTATCAGCCACTGTCCTGAAAGAAAAAAATCTTCTGTACTTGAATACGCCTTTAGAAGGTCAGAATTATATTGTATCGGTGAATAAGATGGGGGTGGACCGGCTAAAACAAAACACAAAGAGCCTGCTAGTGAAGAAGGCAGAAAGGAGCAAATGCTTTTGAAGTCTTTCAAAAGACAGCAAATGGTTTTAGAGGGCATATGCAATTTGTATTATGTCTAGGAAGCCACTGATTCTCATGTCCATCATCTTTTCAGACAGAAAAGCTTAATGACACAGATTAAGCTAGAAAGATGGACAGACTTGAAAAGACCATAACCTCCTAACAAATGCCTAAATGTTGCTAAAAGCTCACCACATTTTTTCTAGAAAGTAAAGGCAAAACTGTAGCTCATTCAGGCCTCTCCTCTATGCTTGGATAATTTCTGACTCATCTGCCATGGGAGGCAGAAGGGCGATAAGAGAAGGGTGAGAGTGCCAATGTGGTCCTTGCTGCACTGGAATTCTGGGGTCTCTTCCTCATGGATAGAACAGCAGATCTCACTACCTTCAGATAAAATGGAAAGTGCTAACTCTGTGCTGGATATCAGCTTCGAGTGGGGATGAGCTAAATCTCCTTGTGTCAGCTACTGCTAATGGAATCCCCACTCTCATTCTCATATGTAGCACTGCAGTTCTGACTGCAGATCAGAAAATCCTGACCTTATCATTTGTCTTAACAGTAAAATGCCTTCCTGTTTTTAAGATCAGACTCACAGTATCTTAAAAGACAACTTTAATTTATATATACTTGAATGATTAGAAAAGTCATTTAGGTTAGACATTAGGAATAATTTCTTTACAGAAGGGGTGAATAGACATTGGAACAGGCTGCACAGGGAGGTGTTAGAGTCACTGTCCCTGAGATGTTTATGAGACTGGACATGGCACTTAGTGCCATGGACTAGTTGACAGGGTGGTCATAGGTTGGACTTGTTGATCTGTGATTGTGTGTGAAAAGCAGTACAGTTCTTACAGCCAGCGATCTCAGCTCACTTAGCAAGGCTTTAAGGGCAAACTAGTTTAACTGCCAATTTTCTTAACTATTCCTGACTGCAAAGAGAGAGCAGAAAAGATGTTCCCTTTGCCTCTAGAGGGGAGAAACACCCTTCGTGTTTAGACCGAGTACCATCTGATAAAATTTTCTGACTCCAGAGACACGGAAGAGTTTCAATATCTACAGAAGAAGACGACAATTCTCTAATTCCATTTTATGAAAGAACAGGATTTTATGAACAATGGGCTCATAATCAAATATTTCTTATGTATGTTTCATTCACTGTGGAAAAGGAGAGAGAAATCTAATATTTGTTCTGTTCATACTGTTTTTCTAAAGAAACACATTATCCCATTTTTTCATTTTCCCACTGAGAAGGTTTTAGAACAGTAGGACCCAATACCACAAGAAGACAGATTACATGGTCACACTGCAATGGCAAGTCAAAAGATAAAGACACACCAACTTTGATGAGCATCTATTTATAAAGATCTCTGCCACAATGAAACGTTGTATAGCTACCTGGACTAACATCTCCTTAGAGAAGGTGTTGAAATAGTAAGTGGCATGTTCCTCAGGGTTGCTGTGCCTTGTACTTCTGGGTCCTACAGGGGCACCATTGTTATCAAAACCTTCAGGCAAACAAAAGACAAAGCAAATAAGTATTTGTCACTTAATAGAATATATTGCCCATTTCTTTAAACTAGAAATCGACACACTTGCACTGATAACTTACCAAGATGAAGTCCAAGTCATGTTGGCAAGAGAAAGATGATTTTATAGAGTTTAATACAAGTGATACTTCCAAGCAAGCAGTTTGCACACAAATTACAAACTTCATTTTTAAGTCATATTATTAACCAAATTACTTGTACATAAGAAAAATGTTCACAAACACTGCACAAACCAGATAATCCTAGAGTATCTTCAAAAAACCCACCTGTTGCACAAAAATATTTCAGTATTAATGAGAACACAAAATTCAGTGTTTTAAATAGAAAGAGATGACCACCAAAACACACTGACATGACTAAGGCACTTAGAATATCAGTCACATTACCAAAAAATCAATTCTGTTATTCAAAACTACATGAAGGAGAGGGACCTTTGTTTTTTAAGTTTTTATCTTCTCCCAGTAAATTTTGTATTGCACAAAAAGAATAGGCTTAAGGAACAAAAACAAAAATTAAAAATAATCAAGTCAGGGAGGATTTCACCCTATTCCACATAAACCTTTTCCAGTGTTTTGTCCTGAAGTGACAAAGAGAAGGAAAGCTTGAAAAGATACATGCCCTTTAGCAGCAACTTAAAGCCACCACTGTTAACAATGCCTAAGATAACCTGATTTAAAGAGATGCAATGTGATTTTTTTACCCCTTAGAGAGTGGTAACAGGTTACTCCCAGCTACGAAACAATAGGAAGCAATAGCTAACACTGAAATTAAATAATGTCATGCAGAACATCAGACTCCAAAGAGTCTTCCAACATGTCTGAACCTTCACCCTCAATGTTTTATATTAGGAATAGAATATCATAATGTAAAAGCAGCACAACATCAAATTAAAAACAAGCAAAAAACCAACTGCCAGAAAGTTTGTCCAAGTATATAGCAAATAAAGGCACCAGCTGTTCACACAGGACCAGTCACTAAAATTATTTCCTGAAGTTCCACAACTAAAAATGCAGCAAGATATTTCAAATGCATAAAAAATCTTTTTCAGTGACAGCAGAAGACACATCAAATCAATCAAATTTAGGTGAAACATTAGTGCAGCATTTAATCTAGAAACCATTTTTTCCCTATATTGGAAAATGCAAGCATGACATTGCATTTCACTGTCTTATTTAAAAGATGAGTAATTTGCAAGTCACTGTCTAGAGAAACGATTAACAAGCAAGCCAGGATTTTCTCATGTTTAACTTCTAAACCCCTGCAACTTCCAGAGCAACAAAACCAACCCCTTCATACAAAACACTGTTGGGGACTTCATCCCTCCTTTCACAATTTCAGTTCTCTCTCAGGGCCCTTATACTAGTTACCCACAGGCTACCTCTGACATCTTAACTATCAGATGGGAAAGACAGAAAAGCTGCTGGGCAGGTTCTGGGTAGCTCAAGAAACATATATGAACTTGCTGGTGAGCTGGGAAGTCAAACAAAAAAGGTACAGCAGACTGGAAAACAATCTTTCCCTCAAGTAGAGAAATCACTTTATGTCTCTCCATTCAGTGTCTAGTTCCTGTGACACACTTAGGAACTCTCATGATTTTGACTTCTTTCAAAGTCAATTTAAAGAGTAACTGGTAAGATTCATGCAACCACAGGTTTCATTTCCTTAAAATAACAAGGCTGAATAAAAGTAATTGTTTTCTAAAATGTTCTAATTTCTAGTCTTCTAAATATTCCCTAAATAGTTAAGAGCCTTCTAAATAGCTACTATTCTCTGACATCCTATTCTGATTATATGCTGGTTTCACACAAAAACTTAAATGTGTATTGTATTGATATTACGCCATTTGTTAGAAGCAAAAGTCATTGCTCGATTTTTACTCCAGAAAGATGTTGAAAAGTGATTGGTGATCAATTAATTCAATCATGCAAAGCTCTAATGAAGTTTAAAGTTTGCACACTCCAGCCATAATTTCGGTATTTTTTCAACATTCTTTCCTTTTCATATCTTCTATGCTGTTGTGTTACAACTACCATTTACACTCTATAATGCCTGTTCTCTGTTGTTTCCATCTTATGTTTTCAGAGAGACACAAGGTGCCTTTCAGTGCCTATTTCCATGGGCCTACAACAGGCTCTACCCCTGAATGTGACCCATAACTGCTGCTATACCAAAACTTATCAATAATATATAACAGGACACTATTCATCTTCAACATCCATTAAGAGAGACACAGTGCCTTTCTTTCTTATGAAGCAAATTAAGTATTTCATTTTTCCAAGGCTCTTTCTCCACCATATCACAAACACTGCTGAGGAACATAGGATCTTTCCTCAGCTTCTAGCCAACAATGAAATGCAATACAAACCTACCCAGAAGCCATGCATAGAGCCTTCGGTTGAGGGACATATCCCTGCGCAGCACCACGTGAAGGGCTGCTGACAAAATCCTGATCATGTCTGGACGTGTTGCCTGAAGAAGTTAGAAACAGAAAGAAATTCAACTGTGAAAACTAACACTTCTTCTATGCTTAATCAGCTTAATGTTCATTAAAACAGAATTTCATGTTTTGACGTTTCTGAATTCGGAATAGTACAAGAAAACATGATCTTGCTCTTAGGAAATCAAAAATCTGCTTATTATCTGGAACAGACACTTTGTAATGACGTGCACTCTTTATGAACAACAAAAATAACTGGCT